CATATTGTCACTAGTGGTCCTAGACAAACTAGTGGCTTTCTAATGTTTTTATAAATTTAGTTGGATTTATTTTATTCAAAATAATCCCTGCTTAAAAATGGCTAATACGCACCCCGCCAAAACCTGCCCCAGGTCTTCAAATTTAATTAAAATATAATTTTAACATTAAATTACCATAAATTGTGTCAATATTTTTATATATGATAATATATATATTATCATTTAGAAATAATATTAAGTCCAAACAACTTTTATAAATAAAGTTATTAGTGAAAATTTAAATTTTAAAAAGTTTCTTTGGGTATGTTGAAATTTAAATTTGCATTTAAAATTTTTCATGAGCAATTTTGTCCGAAACATTTTTGGACCTACTTATGCACCTTATTAAAATACATATTTGGCTTAAATTATAAAACTTAAACTTTATTAATTTTTAAATTATTCGAGAAGGAAATACCTACCCCGAGAACACACTATCCCCGGTCTCCCCTAAGTTTTTCCAATTGGATAGGTTCCCAAGATTGTTTACTGTTATGATTAACTTGTTGAAGGATTCTGCTAAAGTATTACGAGACCCTGTGGTATGCGGGATATGGTGGGAAAGTTGGTTAGAGATAAAAAATCATTGGCCTATGATTGTATGTTGGGAGTTTGTTGACTGGGAGGTGAGTCAATAGCAACAATAGGAGAGGAAGGGCTTGCTAGATTTAATAGGCTGAATGGAGGAGGATCTTTGGACGTTATACTTGCTAGCTTGAACCCCGACATCTGGAGGATGGGGGACCATCGATTTGAAACCTAGCTTTGGTTAATTTTTAGATTTATTGCATAAGGGGCATATTTCATGCATTTAAAATTTTATTTGCCAACACTCATATTAATACATAGAAATATTTCAGGGTGATCAAAGTGATAGATAAAATTGACATATATTTAAAATGCAGGATGTGTATTGTATTAAAGGTGTCAAAGGTAGACATATATATAGATAAAGTAAGATGTACACAGGGTAAATCATATTAAAAGTTGCTATAGGAATCTCTTAAGGAATGCAATTGATAGTATATGTCTGTGTTTGAAATCTATTAGATTGTGCAGTTGATAGTATATGTCTGTATAAAAATAATTAACAACCCATTTACAATTGATGGAGGACCATGGATTAGAACTTCCTAGCTTTGATTATGTTTGAAGATTTATTGCATAAGGGACACATATCATTCATATAAATTTTTATATGCCAACCCTCTTATCAATATAGGAGGATTCAAAATGAGAGATAAGATTTGACATATATTTAAAATTTAGAATGATAACTTATGCGGGATATATATTGAAGGAGATATGTCAAAGGTAGACGAATATATAAATTGAGTATGATGTAGGCAGAGTAAATCATTATAAAAGCTTCTTTAGGAGACATTGAGAATGACGGCGCATAATCTAGAGGCCTAATTATATTAACCCGTTATGGAATGTAGTTTATCATATATGTCTGTATAACAATCTATTAGATAAATAGCATCAATGGTATATCTGACAATTAACAACCCATTTACAATTTAGAGTTAGAGATAGATGCTAGTCTATTTTCAATAAAAATGAAATTTTATTTAAATTTAAGCAATATAAAATGTTGAGCCGAGTTTTATTGGTTTTTTATCTAATATAGTTAAGATATTAAAAATCAAATTTTCCATCTTTTTATATTGAAAATTTTTTGGAAAATCTTATAAGTCATATTAATATTCATTTTATGATAAAAAATAGTTTTTAATATTATGGATCTAGACATCATAGAAGAAGAAATCGAAATAAAAAATAAATTATCTATTAAAACTTTATTGCAGATTTTCAAATGTTTATAATGATGAAAATATCATTGCGGCTCTTATCCATCCTGCATTCAAATTAAATTAGGAATCGATAAAAAATGCACAAAATATGGAACAAAAATAGAAATTAATTAATTTTTTAAGAGAACAAATTCACGATGCAAAAATAGCTACAACGGGAACCATTGGACAAATATTTTTTAAATAATTATATCAAAATTACTATTTTTGATAAATTTCCTGAATTAAAAAATATTTTTATAAAATACAATGCCCCGCTTCCCACAGGTGCTCCTGTTGAGCGCCTATTTAGTATTGCTAAACAGGTTTGTGGGAGAGGCGTGGATGTTTATTAGATTCGAATTTAGATAATTTATTACTTTAGCGAATAAAATATAAATATTTTGATATATCATTTAATATAAATAAACTTTTTTGATAAAAAAATATGATTTTGTTTAGTGTACTTTCTAAAAAATATAAAAATCAAAGGAACAGCTATGGAGTGGCACTCCCTTTTAAAAATTTACTAGTGAAAGCTGGAGCTAGCTCTTTTTAAGAAGGTAGTAGTGGGAGGAAGCTAAAAAGGAGCCTTAACAACTCTGCTTCCATCTATATAAAGTAAAATACCTTCGCAGCATATGAAAATGTAAAAAATTCTCACCTATATCTGTCACATCAATTAGGTGTATTATCTTCTAAATCTATAATGGACATTATTAAAACCTAGAATTAATTAATATTATATATAAATAAATAACACTTATAGGCTTTAAATCTCGTAATATAAAATATGGCCGAGGATGATAAAATATGATGTAGATAAATATTTTTTTAAAAAATAATGATTTTAATTTTTTTAATAATGGATAATATTTAAAAATATAAAAAAAATATATATTCTATTCCAATATCGCTAAATTTTATTCCACGCCAAGAAGAACCTTTCATTACTAATGTCATTATTCATCAGCAATGGTATTTCTTCCTAAGATTAGAGTAAATATTAAGAAAATATTATTCTTAAAGATAAATTCCATCATTTTGGTAATCTATTCCTTACAGGATGTTCTAAATAAATTAAATTAATCAACATACCTCTGCATTCACATATTTTATATCCCCTCAAATCCATTAGACAATATCTTCTGCAATGGAAAGACGGATAATGTCCCAAACGCATATTGTCATTTCTTTTGATAGTCCGCACTTATGGCGACATTTTCATTATTCGACTCGTAGATCATGTGTTTTCTTACTGCGCATGATCATGGCCATTTTTTTAAATATGGCCATGATTCGCCATTATTCTTCTTCTTTTTAATTCAAGCGCGTATATATTTTATAACTATGACTACCTCCATCGAACTCAACGCCACATTTTTATTATTCGACGCGCAGATCATGTGATTTCTTACTGCGTATGATCGTTAAATATGGCCATATATTCGCCATTTTTCTTATTCTTTTCTAATTCAATCGCGTATTGATTTTATAAAAATGGCTACCTCATTCGAACCCAAAATATGTCCTACTTGCCGGAAATTTATACATTTAACAAATAAATGTGTTTTTTATGTTCATGGACCAATTTCCAATAGGTGTCCTCATTCTTGACATGCTCCTCTCTCTCATATGGCTAACTCACTTCCCAACTCATTCACGGAACTACCTTCAAATCGCGCCTCTAATCCCACTTTCTCAGACAATTTTCTCAATACTACAAAACCAAGTATCATATCCAGAATACCTAAAGGAGCGAGCATACAAGTCGCTAAATCTCTCAGTGACAGCATATCCTCTCTCCTCAAAATTTTGACAATGAAGAAGAATGGTTAAAATTCTTCTACTTCGGTTCAATACTTTTAAAATACCTGACAAATCAGTCCAGAAATCCATAACTCAACAAGTAAAGGACGCCAGTTTAACCCTTTAAAGTCCTGTGAGCTAATTTGACATAGATTTAATTTAACATTTTTAAATAAATATACGAATGTATTCAATCGTATTTTATCAATAATAAAAAAAATATGCTTTTGTTTTAATTTTATTATCATGTAAATTTTGACTATATTTCCGTTTCGATTTTTTCTGAATTACTTGATTTTACATATGATTTAAATATAATTGAAAAATTTTGAAAACTGTTTATTCTATAAAGAAGACAAAATATTCAAATATGTCATCATGAATTTATATTTTTTTAGAATTTTAATTATTTTTGTAAATATAATTTTAAAATTATGATGCCAAATTAACTCATTGGGAATTTAATAAGTTATTTTATTAACATTGAATAAATTTTATTTTTTATAGATGTCAAATAAAATAATTATAATTGAATGTGATATTTCGGAAACAGATATTGATAATAGTGAAGATAATTTTAATCATCTTATTGACAATATAGATATAGATTCGCCCATAAATGCACTCCACATAGAACTTGATAATGTTCATGAAGGTCCTAGTTTTCCTAATCTCAGTAGTAATTGGGTATTAAAAAATCATTTGATACAACATTTTCTAAAAATTTTTTAATCCCCCAAATAATATTCCAACACCATATCACTTCGAATAATATTTCTACCTGCATTGTGAATGCATGGTTATTGTATCGAAGACATTACTTCAAAAAAATGGAAATTTTTTATAAAACTTACAACATTTAAATCTCAAATAGTTCCTGCCTTGTTAATGGCAGATAAAATTAGTAAAAGAAAAATAGGGAGACCATTAAATGAAAATCCTAAAATACAAAAAGGATTTAAGTTACCTCAGATAATAACTGACGTTAGATATGATAATTTAGGGCATTGGCCAGAAGTTTCTAAGACTCGAAAAAGGTGTAAATTATGTGTTATCGCATATTTAAGGACTATGTGTGAAAAAATTTATGCCATAACTAGGAAATAAATTTTAAAAAATTTTTCATTTTTTTATATACATGCATTTCGCTAAATGGTGCCAAATTATATCATGATTTTTTTTTACCTTTATACTATGAAATTAAAATCGAAATAAAAATTTTACATACTTGATGTATATAAATGAAGATTTTTTATAAAAAATTTTTTAGTTTTATTTTAAAAAGTCGAGCTTTAAAGGGTTAAATATCCTTAGCCGTCTTCAAAATACCCAAATCTATTCACATCCAAAAAAAAGAAAAGTAACTCCACTCCAGCAAAAAACTTCATTGATCTCGAAGAAAATCGATAGTCTTAACATCAAAGGGGCTCTCAAACTCATTTCGACCAATGATACCCTTGCTGATTTCTCAGAAGAAACCTTAAGCAAGCTACGCTCAAAACATCCGAATTACACAGCCTTACACGCATTGTGCAGCAGACTTCACACAAGAAGAAGTAAGGAGGAAAGCAATCCTATCATTTCTTGTGACTCAGCGCATGGACTTGACGGAATTGGACCAATCTTCTTACAGGACATAATCACTCCCATGATTTGTGCTCATGTTTTAATTCTCACCAAAATTACCAACTTATGCAATAAAATCTTAAAAGGAGATGTACCAAGCTTTGTAACCCCCTTGCTCTTTGGAGCCAGACTCATCACACTCCAAAATCTCAACAAGGACATCCGTCCCATCTCCATTTGTTCAACTTATCGAAGATTGGTAGCAAAATTAATTCCTCAAGAATCAAACACGAAGCATCACACATGCTCAGCCCTTTTCAATTGGGTGTTGGCGTACCCGGTGGATGTGAAGCTGCAGTACACTTAACAAGAATTCATCTTGAAAATAACCCAACTAACGAAGCTTTAGTGAAAATCGACTTTTCCAACGCATACAACACTCTTTCCCGCAACACCTTCATAAATTACACTTGTTCCTATTTCCCCGCTTACACCAAATTTCTTTTCTCTTGTTACCTATCCCCTACAATTCTACAATTCAACACGGAAAAAATACTTTCAGTTGAGGGTATTCAACAAAGAGACCCTCTTGGATCTCTTCTATTTAGTCTTGGAATCAATGACATCATTAAATCAATAAACGCTTCTTGTACTTTATCGCTTCTTGCTTGGTACATCGATGACGGAATCTTAAGTGGCTCCCACAGTGAAATTGACAAAGCAGTCAACATAATTCATGAAATGGGAACTGCCATTGGACTCTCTCTTAACCTGAGCAAATCCGAATTCATTCAATTGAATACAAACGCTCCAAACTCACATAATTTCAAATTCACTGTTATTGATGAATTCACACAATTAGGATCTCCCGTAGGAGGACATAAGGCAATTTGTACCTTCCTTCATTCCACCCTTGAAATCATCCTTAAACTTGAAGACATTTTTTCTCATCTTCCCTCACACAAGTCTTATTTCTTACTAAAAAATTTCTTTTTCATACCAAGGATTCTTTATGCACTTCGCGCAACACCCATATTTAAATATCCTTCTCCATTAAAAACGTACGAAAACGGAATAAAAGACCTAACCGAAAAAATAATAAATCTAAGATTCAACGAATTCGCTTGGGCGCAAGCTTCGCTCCCCACAAAATGACTTGGCATTAGATCTCCTTATGATCTAGCAATAACCTCTTTCCTATCTACTAGTCTCTTGTCAAAGTAAATAACAAACGCCTATCATTCTAAAGAAGATCTTTCCTTAATTGAGGCCATAAACACTTGGTAAACTCGAATCAATGTTGATTCTCATCCCCCCACAACCCATAGACAGAAGGACTGGGATGCTCTGGTAGATGCTCGCTGCGTTGAAAATCTCTTATCTAGCATGCAATTAATTCACCGCACCCTATTCTCTTCCCTGCTCAATGGTACTGGACACGAGTTTCTCGCATTCCTTCTATCAATCTTCAACTTTCGAACAACGAACTTACTCACGCCATCGGTATTCGTATAAATTGCTCAATCACCCACCCTCACATCTGTTCAGGCTGTAACTCGCCCGTCGACACGAATGGAAGACATAGTTTACATTGTCGCTCCTGCAATGGTCGATTCATTAGACACAGGCAATGATTCAATCATCCAAAACACCTTGAAATCAGCACAAATCCCTTCCATACTTGAACTTCAGGGTCTTTTCAGATCTGATGGTAAACGTCCTTACGTCATCACTCAAATTCGGTGGACGAGAGGCCAATTATTAGTATGGAACTTTTCTTGTATTGACCCTCCTGCCCCATCTAACCAGATACTCAACATCATAGACCAGAAGGAACAGCTTAAAACCTCGAAATACACAGAAATTACTAATGACCATTGTTTCATTCCAATTATTTCAACCACACTTGCCACTTTCGGTAAACTTGCCTTAGCTTTTTTCTAAAATTTAGGATCTCAAATCAACAAACATTCGGAAGAACCTCGAGAGGGTTTTTTTCTTCGACAAAGGCTTGCCATAGCAATCCTTAAAGCCAATTATATCCGCTTCAATGGTAGTCTAATAGTCAAAGAGCTATCCTAAATCCTTTTTTTTCCTCTCATTATACCATCCCCGTTCTTCATTGGTATTTAAAAAAATTTTTTTATTCATATTCCTTTTGTCGCATTTTAATATACTTTATTTATACGTTCTTATATTCATTATTTTTTATTATATACATTTGATTTTTAATTCAAATTTATGTGATTTAATTTTGGAATTTTCATATGTATTTTTTTTTAATCTAGTTTTTTATATACATTACAATATGTGTTTTCTTAATAATTTATATATTATTTGTAATTGATATTTTTTATATTGAATTTTGAATTTCTTTTATATGAATTTATTGGATGTTTTATGAAATAAATTAAAATTTTATATCAATTTAATTAAAAAATTTTAAAATTTATTTATTACTTTTAAAAAAATAAATTTTTAAAAAATTCGTGAGCGAATATTAAACATAATGATCACGATCCTCAATTTAAGACAGGATCATAAATCCAGGAAAATTACCAAATTTAATATAGAATCCGATCATCGATCTTTTGATCTCGATCCTTTAACAACTCTGGTATTAGATTAAATTAAAATCATAATTGAAATTGGTATTTATATGAAGTTGACAAATAAAATTAAAAATGAAGATGACATAATAATAATATATTATACCTTGCTATTAATATATATTAAGATTATTATCATCGATCAAGAAACCAAAAATCAATAATTCGAAATATTTATTGTAAATTATTGTTTATATTCTAGAAAATATTATAAAATTGTTTAATTAAAGTAGAAATATTATAAAAATGAATAATTTGCTAATTAAATTATCTCTTATCATTACAGCTTTATACATTGGAGGAGTAACAAATAATTGTATAAATTGTAGAGAAAATTCAAGTAAATATTATTAAGACAATTTAAATCATTACTACTTTAATAATAGTGTGTTCAAACGGAAATTGTGGAGGCAGTAAAAGAATTGGTCTTGGAAGTTCTTACCAAAATATGGAAATGGGTTCATCACAATCATCAAATAGTGCACAATTTAAAAAACAATCCTCGAATCAACTATCATTAGATGTCGGTGGTAAGTTTAATTAACTAATATATTTTTTTGTACATATTTAATTAATAATTTTTGAAATAAAGAATTTAGCAATATAATGAAGTAATATTGGCGCAATTTATTTTAAAATATTGTTTATAGTAACCTTTATGAGGGTTAAGCGCTCCTAATTGTCTAAAAATATATGTATAGGGGACCAGGGTTATGGCGAACCCTAAAAGGCAAACTTTAATAAAATTAAAAGTACTTTATCATTTTTAACTAAAAATATATCATTATTCAGCTCTATTAGTTTTATGGTAGGTTTTCAAAAATACATACCTAATACTTTTTTCAAATTTTATTTTTTCTGGAATTTTTTTTTGGAAATAGTGAACCCTCCGATAAGGAACGAGCCTTTGCTCGGGCTATTATAAGCACTGCTTAATTTTCCACATAAAAGTTATATATTTTTTTATTAGAACATATTTAATGATTTAAAGCATAAAAATATGTAAAATCATTTATAAATAAAAAAATGGGAACATATTCACAATATTTGCAAATAAAAAAAGAATTAAAATTGAAACATCTTCCATGTGACCAATAACTACATTTGCGATATTGAAACCAGTCTTGATTGTTATGATGCTTGTAATAATTTTTTTTGCACATTAAACAATTATTTTTCTTATTAATAACATTTTTTGATTTTTTTCTTTTATCTGCTCTCTGAGCAAATATTTATTTCTTCATTAAAAAAAATAAATAAATATATATATATGTATATAATAATAATAATATAAAAAAAATAAGGAAGAAATAGGAGGGATAAGGGAGGATTTCGAAGAAACACTTGTAGTTCCCTTTTAAGATTTCGAATTGAATTTTTTGTTAGAGGAATAATATCTCGTTTTCAACCCCAGTCCTTATTGAAATTTTTCTACCCAATTGATTTTAAAATTTTAGGGATTGGGGACCGGGGTTTTCCAAAACGCTAAAAATTAGAGGAATAAAAGTAAAAGAATTAAGAAGACTATATTTATTGCATTTATTGATTTCTTGGAGTTCCAAGGGGTCAGTGTTTCTGTTAGCTGGAAATGAGGCAACGCATAAGACATCCCAGACAAGTCTTTTGCCGCAGTGCCAAGATGTCAAAGACATGCCATCGTGATGATTACCATCATTTTGAAGATCTAACGGCTCCAAGCTATTGGGGAAACCGGCCGAAATCAATTTGCCGATTAACCTATTTGTTATCTTGTCTCAAAAAACGGCCACTGACTTTAAGACAAGGAAAACAATGTCTAGAGAATGGATCCACCTGCTTATTACAGGTAGCACAGGTGTCAACAGAAGGGATAAGGAAACCAAGCAAATGGCCAATGGCAATTTGAAGCTAATCATTTGTGAGTAACGTTTCCTTTTTTCCAATCGGAATCGCGTCTAGCCATTCATGGCCGTTAGAATTTATTTTTGCGTTTCTGAGTAGCAGAAGGTTAGTTAGATGGGGACAAAAACAAAGTTTTTCACATGCACATTGAAGCATGGGGCCCCGAAAGCTCTTTAGATGACTGGAAACTGCTGCTCGGATCCTTGGAGAACTAGAGTAAACCAAGATTTTTTGGCTGAAGTTAAGAGGGGATCGTTCAACTCAATAAGCGAGAAGATCGAGTCATTAAAGGATATCCGTGACGAAAGAAAAGAGGCAATTGCCAATAATTAGGGGGATGAAAATCCAAGTCCTCCCCAGAAAGCAGGCATTGAGGCAAAGAACCAATTAAAATGGGAAAACTTTAGGACTAAAAGGGATTCGATAAAGTGTTGAAATTTTAATTCGAAGGACTTCAGAAGGGAATCATATTGGATAGCCGGAGAAGATTTAAAGACGTGCAAGAATTTAGGTAAAACAAACATTTTTTGGTTAGGAAAAAAACTCATGTTTAGGAAGATTAGAAAGATTCTTAAGCGACTAAGAGATTGAATCAAATTATCAAAAAGGTTTTGACAAAAGGAAGTTGAGAAGCCGATAGGAGAGCCTAATAGACAGGGTTCCTCGTGGAGAATAATTTTAAAATCTGGGGGAGGGATAAAATCCTTATTGTTGAGGGTAGTGTTGTTAATAAGTCGAGTTCTTACGACTTGCGAATCGAGTCATAGTCGTAAAAAACGTCTCCGACTCAAGCCGATCAAGGAGCCGCATGAGCCGACTCAGTCGGCCCGCTTAGTCGGCTGCTTAGTCGACTCATGAAGTAGGCTCGTGTAAGTCGACTCGCTGGGTTTGCTCAATTTTTTTTATAAAATCTGTTAAATTGCTAAATTTTGGGTTAATGTGAACAAAATTATAATAAGAATATTTATGTCGTAACTAAAAATGGCTCATGACCCGAATTCGGCTTCAGGGATTATATACCTGCACCAAAAAGAATAGGGCGTATACAAAGAGGAACTTCGCATATAAGGATATTATTACACAGTTCGGTTAATGATTTTAGTGAAGGGTCAATAAAACCACTATCAGAGCATTGGATTAAATCAACAAAAAAACTGGTCTGATCTAAACCGCCTTTCGTCCCTTTTTTAAAGGACTTCAAACACTTAAGAACTTTATCATAGGTAAAGGGAGTAAAAGAAGGGCCTTATGGGTGAATGTTAAAAGGGATAGCAGGTGGATATTTTTTGAGAAGCTGTTGAAAAGTAGAATCGTTGATGGGGGAAATAGTATTATCAGAAGTCAAAATACGTGCAGCACCGCTAATATCACCAAGATCTAATTTTTCAGATATCAATTTACAGCGGAAGTAGGATTTAAAGAGTTAGATGAAGTAAAATAATCAATAATGGTATTTCCAAAATTGGACACTTTCTCCTTAATTGAGAGATAAATTATTTATTCTATTTTTGGGTTTAACTAATCAGGTCTAACCATAAGGATGTTGAGAAGAAATCAGAATTCAAATTATTTATAAGAGACTTTTGAAATCGATTCTTGGGCTGCTAAGGATCCTAGATAAGACTGTGAGCTTATGTGAAATAAGAAATAAATCAACAGAGTTTGAGGAACGACAATCAGGACTGGGGTCACACGAGTAAGGAGACCTAATAGAAGGATCTAGGAGGGAAGGGAGGGGGAATTTTCCAGAATTAAGGCAAAGGTGTGAATCATGTTTCCTAAAAGTGCCATTCAAATGAAGTGAGATTATTCTCAAGTACACATGGCAACAAGCGTTTACCATGATATAACTTTGGATGGGAACTTAGTGAAATATAAAAATAAAATAATATTTTTTTTTTGATAAAAGTAAAAATATGGAGAGATTCAAAGATATGTAAAAAAATTTGAGTCTTTGGGTATAAAAAAAAATTAACTTATTGTTCAAATGAATGTGAGTGTTAAATGTGTTCAAAAAATAAAAGCATGTAAAAAGAAAATTTATGATTATAGAAAAAATATATAAATATATTCAGAGACCTGCAGGAAAATTTTTTTTTTAAAAAACCCAGACCGGGTCGGGTCTAAAAAATTTTTTTTTAAATACCCGGGCCGGGTCGGGCCTTATTTTTTTAAAAATTTATACAACACGAATTATTATATTCGTCAATTAGATATGGTTATAATGATTATATAGTTATGATTAATATAATGTTTGGTGATAGTTAACACTAGCTAACACTCATAGTATCTATTACATAATATAATTATAGTTTTCCTGCCATGGAATAAATACGCAAAGAAATACATTATTATATAATATATGTTATATTTTTTATTAATTAAAATATCAGTTTTATTTTTTTATAACCATTAATATAGTATATTCTAAAAAAATATTAACAAAAATTTTTTATAGTATCAATTTGTAATTTACTAAATATCTGTTTAGAATAAAAATAAATAAAATATGTTTTAGTGTTGTTAAACGGCTCGTTTTGAGCCGATTTTTAAAAACGGCTAACTCAGTTTTTTATTCAGAAAAATATTATGCAAGCCTGAAAATTTTGATCATAGAAGGAGCAAAGGTCTGGACATATAGTATTGAAATTTCGAGGCTTAGTCAATATTTTTCTAGCGATAAT